TGCTCAGTACACAAAGCACTCCTCTCATTGGACATCCACAAGTCGAGTGGGCCTGACGGAATCCCGCCAATTGTGATGAGGACGTGCGCTCCAGAGTTGGCACCGGTTTTAACATGTCTTTTTCGGTACTCCTACTCCCTAGGCGTTGTCCCGAATTCATGTTTTGCTAGACAGCTTTCACCCACACAGCGTGCACCCGATCCCTAAAAAAGGTAACCGCTCTGATCCGTCCAATTACAGGCCTATCGCCATCACCTCTTTTTTCTCGAAAATAATGGAGTACATTATTAACTGCCAGTTCATGCGGTACCTTGAGGAGCGCCAGCTGATTAGTGACTGCCAGTACGGTATCCGTCGGGGTCGCTCAGCTGGTGATCTTCTTGTTTACCTAACACATAGATGGTCGCATGCGATCGAGTCCAACGGGAGGCATTGGCCGTTAGTTTGAACATAGCGAAGGTCTTCGATCGGGTCTGACACAAAGCACTTCTTTCGAAGCTTCCTTCCTATGGGCTTCCCGAGAAATTGTGCAATTAGATCACCAGTTTTCCTGCTGATTGGAGCATCAAGGTCGTAAGTAAACGGTGCGTCCTCCGATTACAAGTCTATTAACACTGGTGTTCCACAACGCTGCGTGCTATCACCAACTCTGTTTCTTCTGCATATCGGTGATATGTTGCAAAACGTCGCCGAGTATCGGAACAAACTTGTGTCTGAAGTCGAGACTTTTTTGAACAAAGTCTCGGATTGGGGGTGACTAAATTTAGTCCAGGTCAATCCCCACAAGACACAAGTTTGCGCGTTTACCGCTAAATGGAACACCTATGTCGTATATCCTCAGTTTCAAGACACTCTCCTTGTTGCCACAGCCAGTATCGGAATCTTCGGCGTCGATATATCGAATGACGTGCAGTTTCGTGGTCACTTGGAAGAGAAGGCCAAATTGGCCTCTAAAAAGCTTGGCGTGCTCAGCAGAGCGGGACAGTATTTCATGCCGTCACACCGCCTGCAACTGTACAAGGCGCAGGTTCGGCCTCACATGGAATACTGTTCCTATCTCTGGACAGGGGCTCCCCAGTGCCAGCTCCTTCCACTTGACCGCATCCAGCGTAGAGCGGTTCGAATCGTCGACCAAGTTCTTTCCGATCGGCTTGACTCACTGGCACTGCGTAGAGATGTTGCATCTCTTTGTGTATTTTATCGCATGTACCACGGAGAGTACTCTGAGGAATTGTTCAGATTGGTGTTGCAGTTGTTCATGGGCGGCGGTAGTCACTTACCATCAGGTGAGCCGCGTGCTCGCCTGACCCCTCTCCAATAAAAAAAAACCCAGTAGCGGACTAGGGGGGTGGGAGGGGTTCGACGGAATCAAAGGCTTTCTCATAGTCCACATACGCCAGACATAGTGGCAAATTGTACTCCTCGGACTTCTGAACAATTTGCCGAAGGGTATGTATGTGGTCTATGGTGCTAAAGCCTTTTCGGAAACCGGCTTGTACGGGAAGCTGGAAATCGTCGAGTCTGCATGGGAGACGATAGTCTACGTGCTGTTTTCGTAATGACTTTCGAAAACAGCACGTAGACGCGGTTCAGAAGGGAAATCGGTCTGTAGTTCTTCAAAACACCACACCACACACCTCCGGCACCATGGAGAACGGAATTAAAGGGCTTCTGATGGATTTCAAGTACCGGTTTTCCACGCGCTTTCAGTATCTATGATATATTTTATATCCGCTGTTATTCCATCCTCACCCGGGGACTTGTCGTTTTTAAGGTGCTAAGAGCTATTCTAATCTCGCTCAGACTGACGTCCGGAACATCATCGGAATAGTGTCGGATAAGACTTGCTCTTGGATCGTTACTCACACTTGCGTGTGGCTCTAACGATGACGTGTACAGCTGCCCATAGAACCTCTCAATCTCACTCAAACACTCAGGTGTCCCTGAAACGATTTTTTTTTTATAGGATAGGGTGACAAACGAGCACACAGTCCACCTGATGGTAAGTGGTTGCTGTGGCCCATAGACATCTACATTTATCCTCGTTTGCGAATAAAAATGCAGATGCGTCGTCACCCGTGAGGACTAAGATGGAATGCCTCTTTTCCAGTAAAAAGTGTCTCCGGTTCTCTACACTCCCCATACGAAACACAGCAGTGTTAAGCTGCTATTTGACGCTGGTATTCTGTGAGAGCGTGGTCCTTCCCCGGTCGAGCCGACCCATTCGTGCTACAACTATACTACTAATAGAGCTGCAGCATGGCTCTACCACGTAACAATGTTGCCACACTCGGTCTTCAGCTTCGACAGTTGGTTCTTTCTGGCAGACAAATCTCCGACAGACTTTGGGGCCATGGTTCCCCTCGATCGCTTCTTCAATACGAGCTGTATTAAAGTTGCTTAAGTGCCGCTCTATACATTTGGAGATCTGTCTGTTCAGTTGTCTGTATGCTGTCCAATCTACTGAAGACTGCAGCTTCATTTCCCGTCTAACGGCCATGAGATTAAGAGTGTGATCGAAGAGTTTTTGTGTTCTTCTGCGGCGAGCCTTGCAAAACTTAGCTCCGACCGCATAGACAGTTTCCACGAGCTTGTCAGTCATATCGTCCACTGCATTACAATCTTCTAGGCACTGAAAATCATTTTGTAACTCGAGCTGAAAGTTTTCGGGACATTGGATTAAAACACGAGGGGAACGGAGCAAACGGACTTCATTAGACGTAATCTCTCCAACTTAACGTTTAGGTTCAGTGTGCTTCGCACCATTCGGTTATCGCTGCCGGTTTTCACCCTCGCGATCACTGAGACATCACTGAACAGTTGCCGTCTAGTCGTCATAATGAAGTCAATCTCATTTTTGTCACGGGGCTCGACAAGGTCCACTTCTTGTAGGGCCCCTTCTGGAAGAGTTTATCATAGAGTCCCTTTTTCTCCATGAAGTCGGCCAGCTGATGGCCCCTTGGATTCCGTTGTCCTATTCCAAATTTCCCTACCTTCAGAAATCTCCGATTACCACCGTATAGTGGGTGTTGGACGAATGCACGGCTCTAGATATATCTTCATACATTTCCTCCCCCTCCTCATCGGGATGTGCAGCGTAAACGTGTATGACCTTCAGCGAATACCGTCTTGTGATTCCGAGTGTAAGGTACCCTCGTCGACACACTCTCAATCTTTACAATTTTGTTAACGAGAGACTTGTGGACGATAAATCCGACACCTCCTTGGGACAGATGTCGCCCTCCCGGTGATAGAACAAGTTGCTGGATTCGAGGATACCTCTCTTCGGACCTCGGATAATCCTATAATATTCTAGCACAACTTATCTCTCACCCCCTGCCGCGCCGTTACGATGGTCGCCCGCCACCGTAGCCAGGAATAGCGGGGCCGCCGGGGACAGGGGCTCGTTTCTTTGTAACTCTCGCCATGGCGAGCGGGTTTGCAACCGCAGTTTTTTTTATTATTTTGCCGTTATCAGAAAGATGCTGGTGACAACTTCTGCCTCAGTTTTCCTCTGTCGCCTCTTACGACACCCACGGTAAGATATGTAGTGTGTAATCTTACCCACCACTAAACGGGTTTATAACACTAGGGTGCAAGTTAACTAATAACAGCCCATAAAAAAACATACTTTATTGTGTGAATGTATAGTTCTTACAAACTAGAAATATAGGTACTAGATAATATCTGAGATCAGTTAAAAAAACTAGCCATGTAATGAAAAACCTTATATAATCATTTTTCTCACTTATTTATGAATTTTTTTTTAAAGAAAACAATAACTTTTTGTTTTATTTCATAACTGTTAAAACAAAGTTCCCAAATATTAATATTACAGTTAGAGAAAACTTAACAAACCCGCATTGATCATGAGCTGTCACGATAATCCTATAATATTCTAGCGCAACTTATCTCTAACCTCCTGCCCCGCCGTTACCATGGTCGCCACCATAGCCAGGAATAGTGGGGCTGTCGGGGACTGGGGGCAGTCACTTCGTAACTTTATTCGTGGGGGATATATATATATATATATATATAGTTACCACGTAGTTGCCATGCTTGGCGAGCGGGTTGGCAACCGTAATTTTTTTATATTATTTTGCTGTTATCAGAAAGATGCTGCTGCCCATCTTTTGCCTCAGTTTCTCTCTGTCGCCTCTTACGATACCCACGGGAAGATATGTAGTTGGTATTCTTATCCGCCACTACATGGGGTTATAACACTAGGATGCAAGTTAACTAATAGCAGCCCATAAAAAAAAAACATACTCTATTGTGTGAATGTATAGTTCTTACAAACTAGAAATATAGGTACTAAGATATCTGAGATCAGTAAAAGAAACTAGCCACATATTGTGAAAACTCATATAATCATTTTTCTCGCTTACTTATGGTTTTTTTTAAAGAAAACTCAATAACTTTTTGTTTTATTTCATAACTGTTAAAACAAAGTTTCCAAATAATAATATTACAGTTTGAGAAAACTTAACAAACCCGCATTGATCATGAGCTGTGATTGTGAGCTAGGATAGTGAAATAACTATTAAATTCATACACAGATACATATTATATACAACAATGTTAATAGTATAATAAGACAATGATATTGTTTCAAAATATACATTTTGACTAGATGTAAGAAACAACACAATGCAAACATTTTGTACAATATTCACATTAATCATTTAATGATACCTAAATTATTATGGAAACATATATGCAAAAAGAGCAAGAGTAAGCAAAATGTTATAAATACAATAATAATTGTATCAAAATTATTTACAAATTCATGTATAACAAGTTCTTATCCTTATAATATTGTTTAAATCTACTGAGGCAAAACTAAGGTTTATTTTTGATTTTTATTAAATTCATTGTTATATTTGGCTATAAACTCCCCATAGAGTTTCTGGAACACCATGGATATTTAAAAAACATTAATTTCTCATGGCATATCCTTCACTTTTGTCCATTCCTCTATTGGGAAGTGAATGGCAATGCTATTGAGTGTCAACTTTGAAATTAGGATAGTGGCAGGCTCCACTAATTATAATTTCACTAATACCTGTTGTTGGTGGAGTATTAGATGTAGTCAAAGGGTCTATATGGGCAACAGTACTCATCACTGGCGTTGTGTACAGTTTTCCTGAATGCACCGATGTTGCTTGACTAGAATAAGTGTACGCCTGATCAATCCTTCCTTCATTCATTATTCCCATTTTTACTTCAAATATAACATCTTGAATCTTTTTCTTTGCAACCAGTAAATTTTTTTCACCTTTTAGTGACCGTAACTCATTTGCTATGTATTCACCAAATACAGAAAATTCATCTCTATCTCTCGGTGGTGAGGGATAAACAATTTCAGATTTCACAGGGTACAGTACGTCTGTTCTAGCTATCTTGTGTGGTGGCGATAGGTTGGCTTTGCAATCTGACAGAGCAGAATCATTGTGATTAGGTAAACTGCCATTTATTTCTGAATTTTCTTCCTGTAATTATAGAATTATCTAATCAAACTTACAGTACCTAACTAATAACTTAGATTAATAAAAGTATTTGAAATACAAGTATAAATATCTAACTTTTTTTCTTTTACATCCATCCATCCATTACATTCTATAAAAGTCTACTGCAGAACATAGGCCACCCTCATATATTGCCTCATGCCAGTATTTTGCCACGCTTGGTAAGTGGTTTGGCAACTGCAGTTTTTTTTTATTATTTTGAGTTGTTATTAGGAAGATGCACATCTCCTGTTTCATATTCCCCATGTCGCCAGTAACTACACCCTTCAGGATGATATGGGGTAATAGATACCTATTCTTACACCATCACTACATAGTTAATAGAATTATTTACAGGCATGTAAAGAAACCTACTCAAATATAAAAAATATATTCATTATTATTATTTGTAAGGTTTAAATTGTTAATGTTACGATGAAAATACCAAGAATGTAATAAAAATAATGTAAATAACAACTTACAGTCTGAAGAACTCTGTATGGTTTATTCGAATCTTTCATAAAATGAAGATATTCGAAAGCGTACCAATTACTAACGTAGCTGTCGTTTGGATCCTCTGCATTGGCTCGTGCTTCCTTTGCTGACTCTCTATTGTATTGAGTTCTTAGGTGCTGTATCTTTTTGGTAGTATCCGGTACAGATATTCCTAATATATCGGCAATAGCTCGTAGCTCTTCTTTTCGTTTCTGTTTATCTCTACGAGTATCACACAACGACGGATTCCAAAGACTAGCATTTACTTGCAGCAACTCAATCAGTTTCAGAGTTTTATCTTTCGACCACTCCATTGCACGATTTGTTATCAGAAATGTTCAATAATAAACAAGTACACTGGATTTCTAACAAACCGCGAACACTATTTCAAGATTGATCGTTAGATCGCTTGCTAAACAACTTTTGTGAATCTTCAATCTTGTCGTCTTGTCGATATTACAGCAAAGTGTTGCCACCTTGCGATGTTGCGAGTAAGGACGCGCACATCACTTTCGATTTGTTAGTTGACAGATCTAATGTTGTCCTTAGGCTTAACAAATATAAATGAATTATAGTTCTGCTTTAAATAATATTTTTAATTACAAAACCTAAAATAGTTTTAATTTTCTTATTTCTAAAATATTTCATGCAGAACAAATTGCACTATCGCTTAACAACGCCATCTTTTGATTGTTGTTACAACTAACACTGCCCTCTCAGTGGTGGATTTACCAGCAGGCTGAGTAGGCTGGAGCCTAGGGCGGCATATTTTAGAGGAGGCGAATTTGGGGCTAAAAATTTTTCATTTTTCACTTGGTTGATAAATTTTCCTACAATTTGCGTTTAGTTGTGGCGCGGAAAAGAGTGACATGATCGTTCACTAAGTGTTTGATCGAAATGCCTGCCCTATGTAGTATATCTATGGAAATGCTGATGAATTGACTGAAAGAGCGAGGCACGGCCGCCGCGGGAGCCGCAGCAGGATTGTACTGTTGAAGGCGTACGCTGCATGTTAGCATTGAGTTCGAAACAGATAGATAGATGTATTTACTTCAAAACCAAAAGAAAAGCTGCCTCGGTTGAATCCTGGAGCGATTTCTAATACGTACTTATATTTCTCTGGCACAATTTTTTGGAAAATTATTTATTGGAAAAACGTCGTGAAGAGGATTCTTGCCGTAGTATGATAATGCCGCAAACATGGCAAACATGTCAATTCAAAGGCAAGCACCTTTTGCTTTTTTCGTTTCTTGCTCTGTCCTCTCTTAAAATTTAGTGGCAACTGTGGCTGCTGAATGTTGCACAGAAGCATGTCGCTTCTTCAGTTCTTTGTAGCTGAACGAGAAATTTTATTTTATTATTTCCAAGAAAAAGTGATCGAATTAAGCGTGTCGAAGCAGTAGGTATGCAAAAGACGTGGGGGAGAATATAACCGGAAAGGAAAAAAAAAATATGATGAGACACCTGATAAAGAAATGAGAATGACTTCGAGTGATACTTTCAGGGCTAATACATTTCTCGTCCTCCTTGATAGACTCGTATCTGAATTAGAAAAACGGTAGGTGTTGGTTCAAAAAAACTTTTGATTCCCTTACAGAAAATGCACTTTTTTTGGAAGAAATGTATCCTAATTATTTAGAGACTGACTTATGTAGTTCAAGAATTCATACATTTTCAATGCCACCTTTCTTCTGAAAGAATTTTGGTGAAACCAGATTCTGGATCGCTGAAAATTTTATCTTCGTTCCTGCGGACCCATAATTTTCGAAATGTTTTTCTAAACTTGGATAGAGCAGTCCACATGGATTTATTCCACCAGTGACAAATTTTTCGGGTGTTAATTTTAAATAAGAAAAGCTTCTCGATTTTCTTACTTAAAATGGCTGAAAAATTATCTAAGATCTACCTAAAGTCAACATCTCGGCATGCCGGGATCACTCCTCTAAGTTACTTGCAACATCAAAGGACTGTTGAACTTCTTCGGGGAGATTTCATGGCTCGAAAACTTACATTATTCCTGTCCACACGCAAAATACGCGCTTACCTAGACGTGGAGTTGCGGAAAGCAGCCCGTCGTAAACTCAACTACCTAAAGTCATATAGACTAGATAGATAGACTCAGAACTCAAAATTAATGAACAAGATTTCATCCGATGATTGATGATTATTTTGCGAATAGAAAACTACGCAAAAGGGAATTATAAAACTTTTACTTGTAATTGAATATATTATTTTTAAACTGTAAGTAACCGCAATAAAAATTATTTAATAACGTTTAACGTTGAGGTAGGGGAGAGTGGGGTAAGACGGGGTCCTTAAGGTTTGATGTTAAATAAAATTGACCGTAAAGAGTTTTATTAATTTGTTTTATTCTTATAATCTTCTTAGATAATCAGTCTTCATTGTTAACGAGTATTTGGCAGTCTTATCAACATAATAAAATTAAAAAAAAATCAAGAAGTAGAAATAAACCATTCACCCCATCATGCCCCACCCCTAGGGTAAGATGGGGTACCCCGTGGGTAAGATGGGGTACGCAGCAAACGACTATTTAGGACTGTTCACAATGTTCACAAGTGAACACGGTATCTGCATCTTCGTCGTCCACACCTGCACAGCTGCAGTGAGCCCATTTGCCGCATGCTGAACAAGCAGCCCAGCCTTCATTTGAGTCCAAATATAGGCCTTTACAATACAAACAAGGTGTATTTTCAATATCGCTGTCACTATTCTCGTTTAATGATCTATTCTTAGCCCCTTGTTTCTTCTTTGTTACTCTTTTCTTCTTAGTTGCCGGGTCTTTTTCAGATTTTTTAAGTTCCCTCAACCCTTTTTTTCTCTGTTTATCCTCTTCCGCTTGTTCCTTTTTCTTAATCGTTTCTTCTAACTCATTCTTATACGGCGAAGATGTGATCACCGCGGTTTTTCCTCGTTTTCTAGTTGAGCGAGATGTTTTTGTAGTTGCTGGAAAGGGCATTATTTGCTGCGGACTTACGACACCAAATATTGATTGCTGCGGAGTTCGTGGTCTTTCGTGTAGATCGGAGTTATCGAGCCAGTAAGAACATCCTGGTTCAGGGGTTGACATTGTATTAGGTAGCACAGTAAGTGCAGTAACCAGATTAGTTGATAGTGACGTACTCGCAGAAATACTAGCGGCAGTATCAAGTCTCGACAATGTTTCTGTTTCCACTGTTACTGGCGTCACTGCTGCATCCGTCAAAGTTGCCGCAACAGAAATGGCTTCAGATATAATTGGCGCATTCTGATTATTTGTTGCTGGTTCTGTGGATGACGATTCCATTATCAACGAACTATTATCGCTTGCAGGTGCGTCGGATACATTAAGCTGAATATCTATCATCAAAAATGGAGCAAAGTCGGTCTCAGAGAATACTGTTGGATCATATGGCCAAATCCCACATTTCTTAAAACCATTGACAGCTGTTGACATCGTAGACGCTTGTATGAACGCCTTTCCAAAAATTTCAGCTACTTGTCGGACAGTGACAGTCATCCCTGGGTTGCTGCGAAGCCACGCCATGATTTGATGATCGTAGTAGGTACTTAACGGTCTCATGTAAGCAACGTCTGCAACCTGAAGACGGTGAGTTGTATGTGGTGGGAAACATAAAATGATAACGCCGTGAGTGCGTGCTTCATTTATGAGATCAATGTTCTTCGTATGAGTACTATGTCCATCCAATAATAACAAAACAGAATGCTCAGGTGTTGCTCCGCTAAATTTGACGAACTTTTTAAACCAATCTAGGAAAAGTTCTGAAGTCATCCAGCCCGAATCACTGCAAACTCCCCAAGCTCCGGGGGCAGCATTAATCATAAGTTGCGGATCCATTCTTTTTCTAGGATATACCATCATGGGTGGCATAAAATTACCACTAGCACTAAAACAGATTTCTACTGTAATGGTCGTACCTCGTTCAGCAGATGTTATGGCTCCCACTTGCTTTCTGCCCTTTCTTGCGATAATTTTTGATTTGGTTTTGGGCACAACTGAAATACCAGTTTCATCGCAGTTGTATATACGATCAGGTGTTAGATGATGTTCATCGTAAACATTGCCCAAAAAATTGAAAAACTGGTCTACCACCTGTTTATTGAAACCAGCAGCACGTGCGGATGAGGTACTTTCAGGCTGTCTAATAGACAGTTCTGGGTGCCTTTTTAAAAATCCTAATGCCCAGTCTTTCCCGGCTTCTTCTTTTTCATTTTTAAACGGATGACGTTTGTTATTTTTTACCGCTAGTCTATAGACTAAACCTCTTAAGTCTTTCATTGTCAGTCCATAAAGCCTACTCTCCATATCTATTATGTATTTACATAGCTCTTCCTCTTCATTATCAGTAAAAACTTTCTCTTTTGGGCCTAACGGTACCTTAAATTTAACAGTTATTGGATCATTCTTATCTAAACTTTCTAAAGTTGTTTGTGGGACAGAAAATGATTTTGCTGCAAGCTTGTAGCCAATTTTTCCTTCAACCACATTTTTCACAGCATCTTTCATACTTTCTTCTGACCAATCCCCTCTACTTGTTTTTTTTTATAATTTCTCACCATTCTAGAACAAAATACACAGTAAATTAGACATTTATACGCCGCTTGCAAAGGCTAAGGGGCAAGATGGGGTTCCCGACCGACCGACCGACCCTATCTTGCCCCCGCATGCCGAATCAAATTTAAAAAAATACTTAATAAAACCAATACGCAGCACAGAGAAAAACAAGTTCTTACCTGTTAGTGTAGTTATTGTCACATTTGATACCATTTAAATCAATTCCGAGGTGTTATTATTTACGGAAATTACACGCCCTATATAGTATAGAAAAATCACTAGCTATTTGTCAAAAAAGTTTTTTCCAGAAAACAAATAAAACGCGTGGAGTCTTTGTCCGCTCACTTCGATGACTGAATGCCGTAATGGCGGCGCGACGTCAGCTGCTAAAACGATCCTGATTGGCTATTTCGTTCGCGCTCAAGATCGGTCACTCCGTCTTGCCCCGCACCCCGTCTTGCCCCACTCTCCCCTAGTATTAAGGAATACCTTATCCCGTCTTATTAGAAGTCCTACATGATTGAGCTTTTATTAGCTCAGAGATACAGCCAAAAGCTATTTCTTGTGCAATCTTTCGTTGAGTTGTAAAGATAATCTGGGAACTTACACATCGATTTACTAATTCACAATAATTATATTAATAACGAGAAAAGGGTGGTGTGATTAGAACGATAATGCACAAATCATGAAGTTACAATTTCATTGACAAAAAATTGTGATTAATATGATTGTGAACTAGGGCATCGAATAGCAGAAGATCGGTAGGGGCGGCAAAGTTAGAATTGCCTACTGGCGGCAAATGTGTAAATCCACCACTGTGCCCTCTATAACAATAATGTTCTCTATAATATTCTTTGGTTGCGTAAGTTCCTAAGTTGTAAAACAAATATTAGTTCTAGGATCACTCTAGGATCCTGCTAAAAGTTCACTATTACTCTTTACCGAGAGATCCTGCTGGTTAGCCCAGCATTCACCATTGTATTCAAATTTCAAACAATATCACTTCAAAATATTCATGCAAAAATCTTGACGAGTCCAGCATTCCCAAAATTATGCTCTGTCTATGCAGTTTATTTACGTTAATGATTAAAAGTCATTTTGTTACTTTTATATTTGAAAACTCAAAATTCTTAAACTAGTCATAGGTTAGTACAAGTCAGCGTTACAAGTAGGTACGTGCTGCATGTGGTATGGACAAATTTTTCGAAAATGTATGCTATCCGGTCTTACCTACATTGTTGGCTCGGCATCGGAAGGCTGACAATGCGAGGAAGCGTGCGTAATGCAATAAAAAATAGGTATATATTATATTTCTTTTCCTTTTCATATAAAAGCAGAAATGCGACTTCTCGAATTTACTCCTTAGTCTCTACCGTACCTATTATCTAAAATAAATGTAGTTTCACCACCTTTATCTCAGCTAAATGGTTTACTCTAATCAACTTTTAGAAATTTCCTAGTTTCTTACATCTTATCATCATCATCATTAAAAGTCCACTGCTAACCACTGCTAACCCGAGGCCTCCCTTATAATCCGGTCGCTGTCAGCATCCAAGCTTTGACTTAAGGCGACACCGCGAAAAAATGCACCTCCTTTCAACGAATAGTAGGTATAGGAGTATGACACGACTAACGAAACTGGAATTTTGATATAGGTAAATTCATGTCTTTATCTTGAGTTTGCTTGCTCAAAAACACGATTGTAAAATTTTGACTCGATCATAATAATTTGCGAAAACACCTCTAAAAAATCACTATAGTTGAAATTACAACGAAATTACTTAATCTATATGCTTGGAAACCACTCGAATACATTCATAACATCAATATTCGTAATTTGCTTGCTCATTATTTTGATTACTAAAATCAAAAATTTTTTAAAAATATTTTAAGATTCTACGCGATTTCTAAGCGGTTTTAATCGTCGCGGGCGCTACGCAATTTTAGACCTTATGACTGCGTTTTTGAAGTTTTTATAGAAATTATGTTTTACTCTGGTTAGTCCGGCGATAGCCCGCTTCAACGGTTTTCGATGTGTCGCCTTAAAGTTTGCCCCGGGCCAGTCATGTTGGACCGTGGGCTGCGCAAGAAACAATTTAATTTTTCTATAGTAAATCAAGTTCAAAACTGTTAACTTAGTAATCAAAGGATAACTCATTATCATTCCGTGTTGTAATTTTTCAAATAGAGTACCTACATAATATATACTCAATTAAAAAAAAAACTATGCCTATGTAGGAGTAAGACCTTTGTTTTTCGGTTATTTTAGTTTTGTTCTCAATAGGGTGCAGACTTTAGAAACGAAAATAAGATTTACCATACAATCATTAACAACTTAACAACTGATTGTGTAGTCACTAAAGTTTTTTTGTTAAATTTATTTATGAGAAATTAAACTAAAATTATTTTGGCATAGGTACATCATTTTTATTTCGCGATAGATGCCGTTAACCTCAATGAGGGCATCCTCGACTTTTTCGGCCACCTGAGCGGCGCCACTAGAAAGTGAGGTTTAATATTTGACAGATTTCATAGCGGGGAAGTTAATTTGTTCGGAAAATGTAAAATTTATTGTTTCTTTCTGTGGCTATATTTTATATTATTATATGTATAGATTAATAACATAACATTAAAATAAATAAACAAAACCACAGATAATCATAAAAGTAGAAAATTAAAAAAAAAGTTAAAAAATTGCAAAAATTTAAAGAGCAAACCAACTGACGCATGTTTTATGTATTAATATAATACTCTTGAAACTGATACATTTTTATTAAAAAAACAACTTCTCAATTAAATTACATTGTGTAACAAAAATCTTTACCACAGTGTCAACTAGCGACATCTGATGAGTAGACAATGATTAGCCCTCATTAGACTCAAACCAAAACAACCAACTGCAAGTAGAAGGGAAAAAATTTGTAGTATCGAGTGTGGAGCTTCAAAGGTAATTGAGACGTTGATTTTTTTCTGTAAGAGTCTGTCTGTGTCCTACTTCAAGCATTGGGACGTGATGCCATAAGGGAGGATGCCATTCATTGCCTGTATAATTTATTTCACCGACGTACCGACATTAATTTAACCACCTAAGTATGAAAAGGTGAAACATGTCCTAGATGTTATTTCTAGACTTGTTAAATATAACAAAAAACTAAAAGCTTTCTGGCTTAAAATATTTTCATATTAAATAATTCATATTGTACTAGCTGGTACCCAGCACGTTGTTGCGTTACGCGTTCTTGAAGCGACCCATATATATATATATATATATATATATATATATATATATATATATATATAGGTAATACATTTGTTGTGTGTAAGTTAATTGTACTATATCTATAACCTTTGCACAAGTGTAAGCAATAAGTTGACAGTTTTAGTGCAATCTGATGAACAGCTAAGATAATTAATACTGTCATATGAATCATGCTCTTGTCCTATAATTGTTAGCTAAACACGACTGCACTGGACAAATTGTAACATCTTAAAGGTGCTATGATTTTGTAAATAAAGATTAATGATTTATAATTGAAAACAAATAAAACAAGGCAAAGTCTAATTCATTCTCATTTATTTACAGACTACAATGTGAGAAGGCTATCACATTATAAAACAAGTGATATCTAATAATACATTATTTACACTATATACAAAAATAAAACACTTCTGTTGAAAATGCACTTAAGCACAAAAGAGCTACTATCATATTTCAGGTCTAATTATTATGAGGAACCAAGTTATATAACAATAAAAGTTAAAGGAACACAAAAGTAGCGTTCTAGTTCTTTCTCTTAAATTATAACTTAAAAACAATGTAAGTCACTTATACAGAAAACAATCAGTTCGTAAACCAGCTTGTGTAAAATAAAAGTACTATTTAAAAAATATTTTCGAAGTATGAAGCTGGTGTTTAGGAGTTTAATGCAATTTTATTATAGTTTAATATCATCAACTTAAATTAGATTTAGACTTTGTCTATTACATAAAAAATATCGCACAGGTGAGGTGATAAATAACTTAATACCTACTATAATAAAATCATGAATTGTCAATTAATTGAACATTAAAATTAAGTTCCCATAAATAACAACAACAAAATATGAACAGAATGTAAACAAATTAATTGTATTAAGATTAAAACGGTGCAAATCAACACCCATAATATAAATATATATACAAAACATCACTTTTACCCTTATTTGTGTAAATAAAATGAATTAATGTGTGACTACAAATTGTACAAGAGATTCTAAAAATGAATTGAAACATTTAAAAACATTAGTTAATTATGGGTTAGATAGAAAAATATATTTTTCTGAATTATCTATCTCATACAATTAATTAAATAGGACAAACAAGTAAAGAGCAATTACATACAAATATATCACAATCAGTTTGCAAAAGTGATACAGGTTCTCTACCATAAAAATATCTAATTTACACCTACAGTGATATAGATTAATTCTGGAAGGTACATACACCATTTGTTATTTATTTATTCAACAAAATTATAGAGGTATCTATTTTCAACAATTGACAATAATTTGCCCGTTCATGTACTTATTGTTGGTCATTATTGCGTATGAGGTACCTGCGTACGGTCAATTTAGGTCGATCTACGATCACTTTCCCCATTTCATTAGGCCTACATATTAAGGAGCCAGGGTTCACTTCTACGCATACGCATACATGTAATTTTAGGACTAAATAAATACTAGCTAGCTACATCTGTACAATGAGGTGGTTGGTCAGTTTACGTGACGTCGAGGGAGCGGGGCTCGCGCGACCTGAAGAAACCCTTCTCTGTGCGGCATTCCCTTATGGTGACGGTTTGAAGGTTAACAGTTACGTCGGTAATGAAGATCTGGTCGGCGACGGGGGACCTCGACATCCAGTAGGCGGCACCGCGTCGCGGGGCCGGAGGGGGCGGTGGAGGAGGGACGGTTGGCGCTTCACCCCAAGAGTCCTCGTCGTCTGGCTGCGGAGCGGCTTGTGGGGTGTTCACTAGCGGGGGCGGCCGGGCGCCTTTGGGCTCAGCGGGCGCCGTCGCCGTCGGTTGAGTGTCAGTTCGCCGCTCACGTTCGGGTGGTGTGTGGGCGTCCGCTTCTTCCGGTGAGTGTGGAGCCCTTCTTGGTCCAGTGCGGGGCGCGGCGGCTTCTGCGGCAGGCGAGGCGGGCGCGGCCGCGCCGCCAGGTGGCGCTGCGGGCGGCGGCAGCGAGTGCTGCGTCCTGCCACCGTTCACTTTTGTCGAGTCGTGCCTTTTGGCCGGTGGGCTCATCGTTATCGTGACGCCAATCTTTCCCGACTCTCTGGAGAGCACCTCCGCTTTGCGTTTCCCGGGCGGCGGGTGACGCTCCTCGGAGCCGCTGCGCGCGCGCTCCGTTGGCGAGTGGTCGCGTTCGCGCTTCCTCCCCTGTCTCCGCTGCTCTTCGCCTCGCTCGAAGCTTTGTATTAATCTCGGATCGAGTATGTTCTCCTCTGGCTCCCACGTGTTGTGTTTCGGCTTCCACCCTTTCCATTTCACGTAATACTCCACTTTGTTCTGAAACGAGAGAGTTGACGGTTAGTTCATAGCGCTTACAGGTTTAATTTTAAAGTGTGGAGAGTACATGCGCTTCGCAGCGCTGGCGTGGCGTGACTGACCGGTGGCGTGCACGCGATAGAGGGTTGAGCTTGAGTATAGCTATGCTGATTATTTGCGATACCCACGTAGGAACCGGTTAAGTTATAAGTATAGGTACTTATTTATTAATAACTTATTAAAACTTTTGCTAAGTCCTTATTGTTTTATGTAAATTGTTAATAGTAGATAAAGTATTAATACAAAAACAATATACAGGTACAATTTATGTAAAAAAGCCCGTGTTAGTGGAGCAAGTCGACAATGCGGCGGGTTCGCGAGTTCGATTCGAGCCACCTGCCCCGCCAGCTGTTGCGACTATCTCCCTTGGGATCAAACCCGAAAATGCCCTCACCGCAACGCTACATAATCACCGTTATTCTTCGCATGCAACAGTCAAATTCTCCAAATGCATATAGTGAAAATAACAGTTTAATATCAAACATACTAACACTTTCAGTGTAATTAAAATATTTGTGATTAATGTACCCCTACTGTATAAGTAGGTACATAAAAGATCGTTTATTAGTAATTGTAATAATAGACGATTATAATAGATTACATTATAAATAATTCCTCATCAGATACTGCATAATGGGCAGAACAAATTTTATTACTAGATATAGTTACTATAGGTGATAAAACCTTTTAGTACAATCAATCCGTAAACCAAGCAACAGCGCCTACATTACCTAAAACTTTAAATACCTTTGTAATATCGAAACAAATTAATAATAATATGAAAGTATTTTATGATTCATTACATGCAGGTAGGTGTGACGCTTTTACTAAAAGATCCTTGTTAATTCGGTTCATTATTTTCTTTCACGCAGTCAAGAGTTAATCCTTTCGTCACGATGCTAAATTTTTTATTTCATTTACCATTGATTGGCTGTAAGAAATCTGACTTGTTTAATCTTCTTTGTATAGTTCTGTTAGGTACCTACCTAAATTTTACATTGAAACTTTTTTATAAGTTGTATACCAAACCTAACCTAGTACCAAAATAGCAAAATATCGCATTGAAATTGTTTTTATAAATTGTGTTATTCTTTGATCTTCGATTAATTTTTTTGCAATGTTATCGTGTTTTTTTAATTTCACATGGATCTTCTGATTGAACGTTTACCTATTCTTCAGACAACCGTAAATTGAAATTAGATTTTTAAACGACAGAGGAGACACTGACATAAATGGGTTAAGCCTAACCTAGAACCACGGTTTTGCTGTGTCTATGGATTATAAGCCGCAGTAGCTTATAGGAACGGCGCTCGCTCTAAGTTTCATTGTGACGCGAACAACTTGAGTTTAATCCCTGCCCACATCACTGAAATAGTTAATTGTAACTTTAAGTGATTAACCACGTGCTCGGCAGTAAAGGAAGAACCAAATTAATCTGTACCTATATCTAAAAATTATATCTTAAGTTCGTTCTATAGGTCAGTGATGACTTATTGATCTGAGATGTGATCCTTCACTGCGGTCCGTATGAGGAAGCTCAAGTTCGCTCAGTGAATTATGGAGAGGGCTATGCTCTTGGTTTTTCTACATGATAAACTTAGAAATGAGGATATCCCCAACAAATTAGCAAGCTGAAGTGGCAATGGGCCGGCCATATAACGACGAACCGACAACTGATGGGGAAGAAAGGTTATCGAGTGGCAGCCTCGTAGCGGTAAGGCGAAGTGTGGAACGACCACCTACTAGATAGAGTGAAGATCTGGTAAGATATGCAGGGAGTCGATGGATGGATGCAAGTGGCTCAGGACCGTACGTTGTGGCATTCTTTGGGGAAGGCCTATGTTCAGCAGTGGATTTGTGATGGGTTGCACTGATGATGAAGAAGTTCGTTCTAGGCCGGTATTCAGACAATCTCCAGTTTAAATTAAAATTTTACGTCAAATGATAAGTGATATCCGTGGAAGCATAAGTGACTTGGAATGGAGGCTACGTTTAGACAAACGTAATGTGGGTAGTACCTACTATAAGCAACTCTCTGATCAAACTGCTTGGATTATGTATGTAATTAAATAGTGAGATAAATCTGTTGTGAGTTCCTCGAATTTGAAAATTTTAAGGGTTCTGGAATATTAATGGACGAGATTATATGAAAACATCTTTCCCGGAACACTCGTAGCGCTCTCACAAATGTGATTAAGTGAAACAAAATGAAACAGTCTAATATAAAACCACATTTTATTAGGGGTTACTTCCAATCCACTTCATGAAGATCAAAGTAAATTGTTCGTTATTGACGAAAACCTAAGGTGCTTTTTAGCATGCAAAGAGAAGTACAGAGGGCATTTTGAAAGTAGGTAGAGCATATCAAACCCTCCCGTCTTATTGGTTTTACTAACAAAGTGCGATGTGCAAGTTCAGCGCACGATGTGACTTTGCAGAAGCGTCAATGATTATCGTAACATTTAAAATAAAAAATAAAAAGATTTGAAATTAATTAAACGCAGAAACCTTACACTACATTATCAAATGCTCCGAACATTTTTGAATGTAAAAAATATCTATAGATATATATACATGTTATGTTTACTAAATGTTTATAATATTTATAAAGTAACTGCAAAACAAAAATAGAAACAGTAGCCACCGTTTGAAGGCACGTGAACATGTAAACTATTTAAACCAAGTAACAAAGCGTACTGTAAACAACTATGTATTCAATGTTGCACTAATAAACATCCACTTAAACTAAACAAAAACTTATTTTGAAAAAGAAAAAAAGAAAAAGGTTCCACTGGGACGTGTGGGCAAGGTGAGGTCGTTCAGCCGACGCGCGGCGATTGGACGACAGGCGGGGCTGGCGGGCAGAAGGGAGAGGGACTCCGCCCCCGCTCCGTCGCCTTCCACCCCCGCGCACGCCAGGCCGAGCCTACCACGTTACCTACGCCGCCACTATAGTCTCTATGCCGTTGGTGTAGAGTCTGTGTTCGCTCGTATGGGGCGTAACGCTAGTGATGGTACATCCGATGGTTATAATCGCGCCATGGGCGGACCGCGTCTCGGGAGCATAGACGCCAATTAGCGGTGATCGGAAGGCGCGTAGCAATTAGTGCTAGGCGATAATTAGAATTAATACATCTTGTACGCACTTTGTTATTAGTGGTGCAGATACGCGATGAGATGGAGGTTGTACTTTTTTGTACTGTTTTTTTACAATACTTTAAGAAAAAAGAGAGAAAGTTTATTAGCTCTATTAAACGTTATTTTATCAGTACCTAGGTAATACTAAAACATTTTATTTTAATTTTAATAGCTATTAGCTATGGTGACTAGAAAAATCTACTAACAGACATCATAATATTAGGTATATTTACACGAACAATACACGTTGAATAAAAAAAATTACAGATGTCATGGCGTTTATATTATTTTTAATTCCTGACGTTTCACATGTCTGTAGCAGGCATTTGCTCGGAGTCCCCTAGTGAAGAAAGATTAGTTTTCTACAATATAACCGACGTCTCCTCGAGTGAATTAACTGCCACCACCGAAAAAAATCTGAACATAATGTCTGTTAATGACCGATGATGAATCACTCCGTATCTCTTAAGGCTTTCGTGTATCAAAAACAACTCTATATTTAGAGACCTGCATTTAAAGGATAAACGGGATTTATACGTATAACTAACTATTGGTTATCTAAAGCGTTTTTCTTTTTAGATTTTAATTGCGTAAGTAGGTACATTTCTAAGTAACTACTTGCCGCTTTGTCAGAATTTGTAGCTATAATATAAGATACCCATTACGATAGATTTTTACCTGCTTTTGCGTGTCATTATGGCGCGTCTACACCAAAGTTTTCAACATTTGTCAACACGTGTTGCCGACAAATGTTTCTGTAATCACCTAGTTTTAGCAACAAAACGAAACAATGTCGGGAATCGTGTTTCCATTTTCGGCGGCAACATCAAAGGAATACACGTGTTGCCGACATTTGTTCCCTCGGTGGAGACTTCTAGCAACATTTTGAAACAAATGTCGTCAACTTTTGTTGATTTGTCAACAGTCGGAAACATAAATGTTGTCAACATTTTTGGTGGAGACGCGCCGTTTCTGTTCTTCAAACAAATGTTGGTGCCATTCTATAGTACGTCCCTGTTAAAAGTTATGAGCTAACAAACTACAATTACTAAGATTTTATCAGTTAATAACAATGGTGCTTAAAAATTCGTCAATATCCTTAGCGCCTGTCACAAGGGTGCAGAACATAAGACTCCCTCTCTATTAATGCCACAAAACACGGTTCTGAGACTTCCTGTAGGTTTTAACCAGGTCTGATTATTCTTTTACCAGTACGAGGCTGCCATTCGAGATCTTCGTCATCGGTTCTTCGAGCTATTGGCTGGCCAATTGCCACTTCAGTTTACTTATCTGGTGTGCTGTGTCAGTAATTCTGGTCTCAACGTTCGTTTTATCCCTCTTTGAGTGATTTTAAGCTTCCCACGCTATCATTGTGTTGTTTAAAAAGATATACCTATAAATCAAAACAATTACGTCAAATGAAGCACTTCATGTTGCCCGCATATTTATATAAATATCGAGTCGTCGTTGCTTTGATAATTGATTAATGTGATGTGTTGTGAATGCGTAAACATTTAAGTGAATTTAACGCTACGCCTAAGTTTATAGAACATAGAGTTGAGTATCTCCCATTGTCGCCGATATATTCATGGAAGATTTTGAGGAGAAGGCCCTGCTTACTTCTCCCATAAATCCAAGACTCTACAAGCGGTATGTAGACGACCCTTTCACAATTCTACCTTTAGATAAAGGTACTGCATTTTTAGACCATCTTAACTACCTACATAAAAAAGTTCAGTTCACAATGGAGTTAGAGGCAAACAATTCTTTAGCTTTTCTAGATGTGTTAGTAATTCAAAATCCTGACAACATCTTGAGGCACA